CAGGAGTCACTGACACTTGGCCTGTGTTGGCAAAGCCATTTCCACTGACTTCATTGTATGTGAGCCTGGAGACACTGTCCTCTGTGTAGGTAGAAGGACCCACTTGACTGACTGGTTCAGAAAGGAACCGAGCCTGCCCGAGCCGACACGGCACAGAGCTGAGGTTGGAATGGGCTGCTCTAGAAAACAGGATTTTCAAGGTGACCAAGGGGCCATCAGAACCCCCTTTATCACTGGGACCTTTGCAAACTCAAAGGCCCCAGATCCAAAAGGTACTTAGGGCAGGTCTTGGCCACCCATTGTCTGCACTGCCCAATAAAGAAAGGGCACATCTACCAGCTGTTGTCCTCACCTGGGCATGGAAGTGGGCGACCTCGCCCAGGGCAATGGCTCTCAACCCTGGTCACACATTGTCTTCACCTGGGGAGCTTGTGAAAGCGCTCAGGTCAGCCCAGACCAATACATTAGAGTCTGGAGGTGGGATACGGCCTGATCATTTTCTAAAGCTCCGGGTGGTGCTGATGTGAGCCAGAGCTGGGAGCCACCGGCCTAGATGCTCTCTGAGGAACTCTCCACCCTTTGTGTCCCCTGATTCCTTCCAGAAGTCTCCTTTCTATATTGTGCTTTGACAGAACCCTGGGGACAGGCCACTAGGGAATGCCTAGTCATGTTCTGCTCACTTTCTCATGGTGCCCAGCGAGGGGGCAGTCTGCAGGCCCTGCAAGTGTGATGGTGTCTAAAGACATGGGTGTCGATGGCAGACCCTGGGCTGGATTGCAGCTGGTGCATCTGCTAACCACGGGCCCTGGAGCAGATGATGTGGCATTTCTGAATTCCAAGCCTCTCCATCTGACAAGAGGGCTAGTGACAGAGCTTTATGAGAGCCAGAGAGAGGGTTAGGAAAGTGAGTGGCGCACGCCGGGCCCTCAGAACCGTTACCAGCATCCCTGGAGACTGCCAGAGCAGGCTGGAGGAGAGGCATCCCTTACAGGCAAAGCCTCGGGCTCCCCAAACACCTGGAGGCGAATATCCGTGCTGCTCCATTCAGCTCCCTTCCACTCCCTGCCCCCCCATTCCCCTGGGCAAGGTTGCCCACTTCCATGCCCAGGCGAGGACAGTAGCTGGGCCTTTGCCACCACAAGTTGGATGTGCCCTTTCTTTATCAGGCAGTGAGGACGATGGGTGGCCAAGACCTGCCCTGAGTACCTCTTGGATCTGGGGCCTGAGTCTGCAAAGGTCCCAGTGATAAAGGGGGTTCTGATGGCCCCTTGGTCACCCTGAAAATCCCATTTTCTGGAGCAGCCCATCCCACCCCCCCACCCCACTCCACTCCACCCCCTCTCTGACTTCAACCCAGGCTGGTTTTCTTGTGCAGAGCCTTGGGTGTGATTTCCCACAAAACACGGAATCAGGACACACTCAGCCTCTCCAGGCAGTAACTTTACAGCTCCAACCAAAAAAACCCAAAACTCCATCATTTTCAGAAGACAAAGTCCATGCCAATGATGCCTTATCTTCTTATAGTACTAGATGCTTTTGGAAACATAAGGCCAGGTACAGTGACTCATGTCTTTAATCCCAGAGCTTTGGGTGGCTGAGGTGGGAGGATTGTTTGAAGTCAAGTGTTCAAGACCCGCCTGGACAACATAGCGAGATCCCCATCTCTACAAAAAAATTAAAAAATTAGCCAGGCACAGTGGCATGTGCCTGTTGTACCAGCTACTTCAGAGGCTGAGCCAGGAGGATTGCTTAAGCCCAGGAGTTCAAGGCTTCAATGAGCTATGATCGCACTACTGCACTCCAGCCTAGGTGACAGAGCAAGACCCTGCCTCTCAAAAAAAAGGAAGGAAAAATGTCCCAGCAACATGAGACAGTATGTGTAGCTCTGCCTTCTCTGTGTAGATGGGGAGTCAGGCTCACAGAGGCTAGATCAGCACTGTCCATCGTGACCTGGGCCACATAATTTTTTTTAAAGGTAAAGAGAAACAGGTAAAATTCATTTTAATAGCATGTTATTAAACGAGTATGTCTACAATACTGTCATTTTAACATGTAACCAGCACTTTAGAATTACTGATGAGTTCCGTCATACGCTTCACACAAAGTCGAGAAAACGTCATGTCTCACACAGTCCATCTCAGTTCAGACCAGTCACATTTCAAGCGCTCAGTCATCACTTGTCATCCCCTGTGGCCAGTGGTCACCATGCTAGGCAGCACAGGGTTCATGGTTAAACGCCTCCTCTCAGGAGCACAGCAGGTTAAGGCAAGCAGAGTGGGAGTGAGGGCCCCTTTCTGACCCCTTGTCCTTTTCAAGCGTCACCTGCTTCTCGAGTGTTCTTCCTGCCAAAGACAGCACATTGTGGTGGCAAAGGGTGTGGACGAGAGCTCAGGCCAGAGGTTCAGCTCCTAGCAAAGTCCCTGTCTGGTCCAGTTGTGCATGTGTCAGGTGGGGACGAGTGGTCAAGGTGGTGTCAATTCACTTTGTTAATAAATTAGTCCAGTATAGCACCTGGCATTTCACACCCTTAGTAAATATTCAAGAGCTTCCCTTTTAATTTCCTTGTGCAGAGGAATTTCTGTTTTTTAGAGATGAGGTCTGTTTTTTACAGATAATTTCTGTTTTTTAGAGATGAGGTCTCATTATGTTGCCCAGCCTGGTCTCAGACTCCTAAGCTCAAGCAGTCATTCCACCTTGACCTCCTTAAGTGCTGGGATTATAGGCGTGAGCCACCATGCCCAGCTTAAGGGCTCCCCTTTTTATTATTATTTTTTTTTTGTAGAGAAAGGGCAGCATATGGGTTAACTGAGGTCTTTTTAAACCAGCCCATTTCTCGTGAGCTTGCAGCTCCTAGGCCCAGGAGGAGTGGAGGTTGCTGCTGGAATGCATGAGTTTGACAGTTTGGAGGGAATTTTCCAGTGGAGCCAGACAAGGATGCAGCCACTCTGATAGATTTCACCCAGCAAGCGCAGGTTGGCCCTACAGGTGCACTTTGGAAAGCCGAGGAGTTCAAGACAATATATAGCAAGACCTTGTCTCTACAAAAAAAAATTTTTTTTTAATTGGAGTCTCACTCCGTGGCCCAGGCTGGAGTGAGTGGCATGCTCACAGCCACCCCAGCGTCAACCTGCTGGACTCAGGCAGTCCTTCTACCTCAGCCTTCCAAGTAGCTGGAACTACAGGCGCATGCTACCATGCCTGGCTAATTTTTTATTTGTTGTAGAGACGAGGTCTCACCAAGTTGCCCGGGCTGGTCTTGAACTGGCGGGCTCAGGTAATCCACTCACCTCGGCCTCCCAAAATGCTAGGATTGCAGACTGAGCCACCGAGCCCAACCATCTGAGGCCTTTTTAATCCAGCCCACTTACCATGAGCTTGCAGCTCCTGGACCCAGGAGTGGAGGTTGCTGCTGGAATGCCTGGGTTTGAGACTTTGGAGTTTTCCAGTGGAACCACTCTGATAGATTTCACCCAGCAAGCACTGGTCAGCCCCCTACGGGTGCACTTTGGAAAACCAAGGTGGGAAGATTACTTGAGCCCAGGAGTTCGAGACTAACCTAGACAACATAGCAAGACCTTATCTCTACAAAAAAAATTTTTTTTAAATTAGCCAGGCATAGTGGTACACATCTGTAGTCCCACTACTCAGGAGGCTGAGGTGGAAGGATGACTGCAGTGAGCCTTGATCGTGCCATCGCACTCCAACTTGGACAGCAGAGTGAGACCCAACTCAAAAAAAAGGAAAGAAAGAAAAAGAGAGAGACAAAAATCCCTGAAACTATCAGTCTTTGGTAAGCTTACTTTCTAGTGCAGAGAGACCGTCAACAAATAGATCGTGCAGTGTTGGAAAGTGGTAAGTATCAAAGAACAGCAGGGTGAAAGAGACAGAGTGGAGAAAAGGCTGAAATGAACCAGGAATGTTCACATGTGTAAGCAGTTGAATTGTATATGTTTTCATCTCTCTAGAAGAGTCCACAGCATAGACAGGCGTGAGGAGACTCCACTCTGGGACCCTCTAGCTAGTGGAGGGCTGGAGAGGTACATCGACAAAATGCTGCTTAAGACTTATGGGAGAAAGTGCAGGAAAGTCACCTCACAAGCATTTGCAGGCGTTGATGGCGCCAAGGAACTTCAGATCCATTTGGTGAAAATGTTGTCCTCAGGAAGGGAAGTGGCAGGCAAGAAAGGGGAGGAGCTGGGGCTTTCAGAAGGACTTAGATTCTCTGCTGGACACGGGCTGGGCTCACGGGGAATGTGGATCATGCCCCAGGGGCAGCGCCCTGGGACTACAGAAGGAGCATCCAGGGGTCTGTTCTTCACACCCTCTTCTTCCCTGACAGGTCTCCCGTGATGGCCGGTGGACTGTTCGCCGTGGACCGGAAGTGGTTCTGGGAGTTGGGCGGGTACGACCCAGGCCTGGAGATCTGGGGAGGGGAGCAGTACGAGATCTCGTTCAAGGTGAGCCCTTTCGCCTTGGCACGGCCTCCCGGAGGCCTGTCTAAGCCTAGGAAGGTGGAGGCCACAGGCTTCTATAGCACCCCTGCCCCTCAGGTACAGAAGGCAGGGCCCATGGGCCACTCCTTGCTATGGGGACAGGGGCACCCCTGGGCTGCCAAAGTCTGGTCTTGCCCACAGCTCTGACTGGCATTCACCTGAGGTCTCTTCTTACTGAAGAGAAATGTTTGTTGGCCATTTGTATTTCTTTATATTTGGTGGGAACAAGACAGGCCTCGCTTCCAGCCAAGATGGCATGTCTGCGTGGAGACCCCAGCCAGCGTGGGAAGAGACGTGGGAAGGTCAGGCAGGACCCACGGCCCGAGTGGTGCTCTGCTCTGGGCCGCAGAGGCTCAAGTCACCCTTCGGGCTTTCCCTTTATCTGTTGCTGCAGGAGTTTGACACAGAGGCCTGGCTTCACACCCCAGTCCATCACTCAGGAGCCATCTGACTTTGGGCAAGTTAGATTCTCCCGAGTTTTCTTTCCTCCTCTGAAATTAGGGAAGAATGACACTATCTACCTTACAGGGCCACTGTGACCACTACCTATTGGAATGTCCAGAAACTACTCAGCACGTGGCCTGGGCACATGACCAGCAATAAGTCCTTAGTAGAAATTGTTAAAGATTCCACAAATAAATATTTACGGTAACCTATCTGACCAGCCCATGGGCTATAGAAACTTTCTGATGTTAATGGTAAAGGAGTTACTAGTTCTGGGTGGTTAACTAGTTATTCTACATCTCTTTATTTGTGGGATTCTACCTAATGCTCAGGTGAAGACTTGGACCCTCTGAGGGCCTGGCAGGGGGGAAGCTTGGCCTGTGCCTGCCACAGCCAGCTTCTAACAGCCCAGGCCCCTGGCTAACCATGTTCCCAGCCCACGAGGGATGGCCACCATCACTACTGAGCTGACAACCCTGATGCCCCGGAGTTGGGCATTGACTTTAACGCAAAGAACGTTGTCAGGCACAGGGTTTAAGACTTTGGTGTTGATGACAGATTGCCAAGATCAGGTCCTAGTGCTGCCACTTCTTCAGCTGTATGGTGTTAGACCAGGCATCCTCACCTCACTGAGCCTCAGTTTCTACTTCCAGAAAATGGGTTCAATGATACTTTAGTCGTTGCAGAGTTGAGAGGATTAAATGAGCCCATGCTTGTTAGGTGCTGCTTAGTAAATATCCTGAAGGTTATTATCATTGTTGATATATTCATGTTAATTTCTATAATGCCAGCTGAGCAATCCAGAACTGGGGAACATAAAATCTTGATTAGCGAAAATAAATAAATAACCTAGAATTCTCTGGAAACATTATTTTGGTTGGAAAATCAGCCTGAGTCTGTTTTAACCTCCAGAATTCTGAAGTTATCTGCCATAAGGGACCTAGCCCCCAAATTGGAACTAATATTTATATCTAGGGTAATACTCAAAATCTGTAACAATTGTGATGGAAAAAGCGCCAACACGTCAGAACGCTGCAAGCTGTAAGCAGTAGCTTACAGTGATGCATCCACTCTGGTGAGGAACAACTGACATTCGTCCCAATCAGAGCAGACAGGACACTGTGCTGAGCCCTTCACACGGTTGACTTTTTCAGTCCTCACAACAGCCCTAGGAGAGTGGAGTCATTATTATGCCCATTTCACAGGGGAGGCAAGTGGAGCTTAGACCAAGGCCCCACACAGTCAGAAGCAGAATCCAGGCCTGAACACTGGTTTGCCTGGCTCCGGAGCCTGTGCTGTGACCTGCCATGTCTGTTTTGTTTAATACCCAGACCAGTCTGAACACCTGCATTTTATGGGCCTCTGTAGGGACATTGGAGAAAAACAGTTGAGAGGAAACTGGCCCAAGATGGTGGCTGCAATCTCTCACCCTTTCTTCTCAGTTTTTGCCTCTTCCTGGGGTTATTCCTCATTTACTTGGATATTCTGAAACCTCTTAGTGAATTGAGTTAGTACTAGTCTGAATCTGAAATAGCACATGGGTTTTCTCTCCTGGTCAACTCTGATCCATGGGTAAGGGCTGCCCCAGGCCTGTGTTGATATGTATTCTGAAGCTGCATCCAAGCTTAGCCGAAAAAGAGTCATGATTGATTAGTGATGTCTGCTATGGGTGCAGCTTTGGTGGGTGGTGGCACATATTTATACTAATTTCTAGTCCATGCAGTCTAGTTTTCCAAATGTCACATCCTTACAGATATAGTGAAATCACAAATGAGGAATCAGAAAATTTTAACTTCACATTTCCCCAATCTATCAATTAAACAAGGCTGGTTTAGGAGGCAGTCTTCCAAGCTTTTTCCCAGAATGGGCACATCTGAGTTGTAAGTTCTTACCAGAATGTAAACTTTAATAGAGGAGTGATCTTTTGTGTTTGACTCACTGCTGTTTTTCAAGTGCTGAAAGGATTGCCTGACACAGAAAAGCACTGTGAGACAAAGTATTCATATTAATTTTAATTATCATGTTAAATATTTTAAAAAATTATTTTATATAAATGTTATTGACTATAAATATCCTAAAATTATATAACACTTATAAGTCTTTAAGAGTTCTAATATAACACTGTCAGTCATAAATTCTAGTTATTATCTTAAAACACTACCTGTAATAAAATAAATTGTTCATCAGACAATCATAAACTTTCGTCAAATCTTAACCATGACCGTTCTGTTTTTGTTGTCCACAATTATTATTCTGTGTCCTCTAAAAACATTCATATATAATGGACTCTAACCCAATATTACTTTTCATAAAATTAAATATGAGTAATAAAAAAATACAATTAATGAAAAGTATACAAATATATATTTCAATTTTATTAAATAATGATCAGATTTTTCTAATCTATAACTGACATTAATACTATTAAATATATACTATATATCTATAATATCCTTATAATAATTGTATTAAAATACTATATTGAATTTTAAAAAGCCACCATCACAAAAAAAAAAATCATAAAAGTGAAAAAGTAAATACAATCCCAGATTACATACCTGTAATCCCAGCACTTTGGGAGGCTGAGGTAGGTGGATTGCTTGAGCCCAGGAGTTCAAGACCAACCTGGGCAACATAGCAAAACCTTTTGTCTCTACAAAAAAACCCAGAAAATTAGCCAGGCATAGTGGTACATAACTGTAGCCCCAGCTTCTCAGATACTGAGGTAGAAGGATCACCTGAGCCCAGAAGGTTGAGGCTGCTGTAAGCAGTGATCATCATGAGCATAACACTGTACCCTAGCCTGGGCGATAGAGTGAGAACCTGACTCAGGAAAAAAAAAAAAGAGTCTTCCTGGCTAGATGCAGTAACTAACGTCTATAATCCCAGCACTTTCGGAGGGTTAGACAGGAAGGTTGCCTGAGGCCAGGAGTTTGAGACCAGCCTGGGCAACCAGGTGAGACCTCCCCAGCTCTACAAAAAAGGTAAAAATTAGCCTAGTGTGGTGGTATACACTTGTAGTCCCAGCTACTCTCAGGAGGCTGAGGCAGGAGGATCACTTGAGCCCAGGAGTTCAAGGCTGCAGTGAGCAAGATCGCACCATTCCACTCCAGCCTGGGGAGCAGAGCGAAACCCCGTCACTAAAAATAAACAAACGAAAAATTTAAAAAGAGGCTTCCCAACTATAGAAGATAATCAGTGTTAGTCTTATAAATGCAACCAGACAATATATGACCAAGAAAAAAACTGTGAGACAAGGTAGCAAACATAAGAAGCCATGTGTGCCCATTTCTGCTTGCCAGGAGAATTTCACAAAGCCCTGACACTGACCAGAAAGATGCTCTGAACACAAAACAGGAAGGAAACCATGGCCCCACACCTCTTGCCTGGGTCACTACACTCCTTTTTGCCTTTTAAGAAAAATGACTCTGGTCCTTACCTTTCTGTGCACATAAGATAACATCTTACAAGATTGGCAGTTATCCTTCTGTCCTCTATAACTAGGTATCCTCTTCCACCAAAACTCTGATGTGTCTCCACATACTAAATCTTCACACCTATATGTAAATTAAAATACTGCATTGGAGGAGTCTGAGAACATTTCTAAAAGACTCCTCCTGGGCTGTAGACCTTGGCTTGTAGTCTTCCATAAGACTTCTAAAGAAAGTGAACGGTAATTCTTTAAAGCTCAATTTTTTTTTTAGTCGACAGCCCTTAATTAATATTTGTTGGCTGAAGTCTCAGAGCAAGTGGTTCCTGGCCGGCATCAGCCTCCAAGCTCCTAACTGGCTCCTTGGGCTCGAAGTCCCACTTAGAAACTTCCTCTGTGGGGAATAGGAATGGAGAAAGATTTGTACAAAGGAATTTCTAAACCCAAAATTATTTCTTTCTGTGTGTTTCAAAGGCCCGTCTACTGGTGCTCTTCAGCCAGTTATTGCAGAACAAATGTCCTTTTCCTCCCACGGTTTTATTTACAAAAAGTTTGGTAATGAAGCCATACCAGAGGCCTCGCACCCAGGAGAGGAGGAGCTGGCTCTTGTCTCTAGTCGATCAAATTATGTCCATCACTCTCCAGAGGAAATGAGACAGTTCAGTGAGGGGGCCTCCGAGGTCTGGATAGGAGCCTTTTCTCCTTTGGCTCTCTCCCTCCTGGCTTCGGGAGGGCCAGTTGCCAGCGACAGCCCATCTGCCTGGGCCAGTCCCACAGGGCCCCTCCAGGGAGCCCGCCCATGGGGCCAGGGGAGCCGGCCATGCCATCTGCTGGCAGATTCGTGCTGGAATTCGGGTGTTCCCTTTCAGCCAGAGCCGGGCATTTACTTGGGGTCAAACTCCCTCTGATGAACCTCTGCTAAGGTTCCTTTTCTTGGTGGCAGAGAGAAGAGACTGGTCTAAAAGACAGGCGTGTATTTTCAGAAATTAAGATAAATTGGAATGTGCCGTCAGGGCTGAGGGATTAATAATTTGGCCCTGATTCCAGATCGGGCTGCCTATCCTGATGAAACCCCCCCCCAGAAAAACTG